CATCTGGGGCAAGAGGCCACTCATACTGGGGAGAAGCCACACACGATACCCCAGTGCAGGGCAACGTTACGACGCGGAAGCAGTCATGGCACTTGTTGTGGATCCAAGAACGCCTTTGGTCCCAAACACAGAGATACTCGGGACCAGGGTGTCCACCTTGGAGTACAGTCCTTTGTGTGCAGTGAATGTGGGAAAACTTTCAGGTACAAATCCTTATTTGCCATACACCAGAGATATCATACTGGAGCACGACATCATGAGTTTGGTCCATGTGGGAAATCCCTTGGGCAACGACCAACCCTGAATGAACATGGGAAGACTCAGGGTGGATCCAGGCAGTACACGTGCAGCAAATGTGGGAAATCCTTAGGTGGCAAATGTGTCCCCCTTAATGTCCAGAATATGCCCAGTGGAGGGAATAATTATGTTTGTAGCGGGTGTACAAAATCTGTCAGCAGTAGCTCAGTGTCGATAACTCATAGGGTTCAGTCTGGAGATAGGTTTTATAAGTGTCGCGTTTGTGCAAAATCTTTTCCGTCTGTGTCTGCCCTCTGTTATCATCAGAGAACTCACGCAGTGAAAAGACATTATGAATGCAGTGATTGTGGGAAATCTGTTACCAGTAGGTCTGCCCTCCTTTCTCACCAGAGGGTTCACACTGAAAGAAAGCCTTATAAATCCAATGAATGTGGGAAATCTTTTGCTGGTAGTTCTGCCCTACATTATCACCAGAAAAATCACAGTGGAGTTAGGCCTTATGAGTGCAGTGAATGTGGGAAATTTTTTGCTGGTAGTCTTGTCTTACGTTATCATCAGAGAGTTCACACTGGGGAAAGGCCTTATGAGTGCAGTGAATGTGGCAAATCATTTATGCGAAAAACTAGCCTCAATGTACACATAAAGGTTCATTCAGGTGCAAGGCCTTATGAGTGTAATGAATGTGGGAAGTCTTTTACTGCTAGGTATTCCCTCCATTTTCACCAGCGTGTTCACACCGGGAAAAAGCCTTATCAGTGCCTTGAATGTGGGAGATCTTGTACTAGTAGTTCAGCCCTCCGTAGTCACCAGAGAGTTCACACAGGAGAAAGGCCTTATGAGTGTCGTGAATGTGGGAAGTCTTTTACTGGTAATTCGGCCTTTCGTTATCACCAGAGACTTCACAGCGGAGAACGGCCTTATGAGTGCTGTGAATGTGGGAAATCTTACACTACTAATGCTGCCCTCCGTTATCACCAGAGTGTTCACACTGGAGAAAAGCCTTATGAGTGCCATGAATGTGGGAAATCTTTCACCAGTAGTTCCTCCCTTCGTTATCACCAGAGATTTCATACTGGAAAAAAGCCTTATAATTGCAGTGAATGTGGGAAATCTTTTGTCACTAGTAAACAGCACCGTACTCACCAGATAGTTCATAGTAGAGAGAGACCTTATGAATGCCCTGAATGTAGCAAATCCTTTCCCCGGAAAGATACCCTCAATGTACACAAAAAGCTTCACTCAGGTGAACGGCCTTATGAGTGTACTGAATGTGGGAAATCATTTACTGCTAGTTCTGCCCTCCGTTACCACCAGAGGCTTCACACTGGGGAAAGGCCTTATGAGTGTAATGAATGTGGGAAATTATTTACTGTTAGTTCTGCCCTCCGTTCGCACCAGAGACTTCATACGGGGGAAAGACCCTATCAGTGCAATGAATGTGGGAAATCCTGTACTACTAGTTCTGCCCTCCGTCGACACAAGAGAGTTCACACTGGAGAACGGCCTTACAAGTGCCATGAATGTGGGAAATCATTTACTGCCAGTTCTACCCTCCGTTATCACAAGAGAGTTCATACTGGAGAACGGCCGTATGAGTGTAATGAATGTGGGAAATCATTTACTGTTAGTTATGCTCTCCGTTCGCACCAGAGTGTTCACACTGGAGAAAAGCCTTACCAGTGCAATGAATGTGGGAAATCTTTTATTAGTCTCAGTGGTTTTAGATATCATTACAGACTTCACAATGCAGAAAGGATTTAAAACAGCACAGAAGGTGAAACTTCTTGCTTAGTGGCATTTAGGCTGGAGGACAACCTCTGAGGTGGCGACCTACCTGAATTGAACGTGGTTCCCCGAATTTCCCCAGTGGAGTGACTTCCCGTACAATCCGGTCATTTTCAGAAAAATTCGGAACCTGCGTAGGGCTTTCTGATGTGTGTACAGTCACCACAAGATGGAAGTTACTGGCAGTGTATGTGGCAGTGTTTGGCATCTGGTAGTTCATGGTCTATGTACGTCACCACCCCAACATGGTAAATAACGCCGAGCTGTCCGCATTATCGACTGCTCATTCAAATTCTGGATACCTGGAACCCCTCGTTCCGTTCCCAGTTAGGGCATGGGTTTGACCCGTGTTGATCCACAGTGGGCGATGTGAGTTCTGGGTGGTGAC